ACTAATGAGAAAAAAGAGCACTAGGCAGGTTCTTTCAGCTAAATTTTAAAGTAAAGAAAAAAATGAACAAGTTAGACCAAGCAGGAACAGACAAAGGTGCTGTTTAACATACAGTTAGAAGAAAACATATAACAGGCTATAGAGGCTGAAAATTTATAGAAAACCCTAACTGATACAAATGTGATTTAAAGTTAACATTTTCATTTTAGATCTTATTAAACAACTTTCTAAAATGTGAGTTGACATCCTTAATTTCTAAGTTCACTTTTTCTGTTATAATTCTGGATCTTTTAGAGTCTCCAAGTCATCTTTGTAATGATTAGTTCTCACTGTACAGGGCTGTACTAAAGAAGACAGACTTTAGACCTATCAAAGGACATAGTCTCATAGTTACTTTTAAAAAAATTTGATTTGAGAGAGAGAGAAGGGAAGGGAAAGGGAGAAAGAGAAACATAATTTTTGTTGTTCCACTTATTTATGCATTCATTGGTTGCTTCCTGTATGTGCCTGACCAAGGATTGAACCTGTAATCTTTGCGTATTGGGACGATGCTTTAACCAATTGACCAACCTGGCCGGGACCTTATAGTTACATTTTAAACTAATCTGCAATATCAACACTTCCTTGCAACATGTTTCTTTCTTTGAAAAGTAGAGTACAGACAATTTTTATTTAATTGATGATCATGATTATCAGAGTTTTAAAAATTATATGTAAATAAATTCAAGGAGTATTTGAATCAATTCATGATGTTCATGGACTATGAAGGGAAGCTATGGGTGATTGGGATATGTCCGAAACTATCTGAATTGGTGTCAGACAGGTTGACCATGACCTCTCCCAAATATTTTGATTTTTTCCCATTCACTTATTTATTCAACATTTATTGAGAGTGTATTATGGGCCAGACAGAGTGATATATGCTGGTGATACAAAGATATTTAAGACATAGTCACATCTTCAGGTAGCTCACAGTCCACTTGGGATCTACCCATTAAATTTTTTTTCAGAAATATTAAACCATCTATATACAAAAACATTTTAAATTATTTTTAAATTTAAAAATACATTTACTGATTTTAGAGAGAGAGGGAGGGAGAGAGAGAAGCATAGATGTAAGAGAGAAACATTGATTGGTTGCCTCTCATATGTGCCCTGACTGAGGATCAAACCCACAACCTAAGTATGGGCCCTGACTGGGAATTGAACCCTCAAACTGCTGGTGTACGGCACAATGCTTCAATCACTGGCCAGGGCCAAATACTTAAAAAAAATGTTAATAATAACAACAGCTAACTGTTACTGAGAACTTTTTATGTACTAAGTAATTAATGTACATGATCTCATTTAATCCCCACCACAACTGTATGGGGTAGGAATTGATCACTAAGGTTAGACAGGCTAAGTATCTTGCCCAAAGTCATATAGATAGTATGTGATAGAACTGAAATTTAGACTTAGGCAACCTAATTCTGGAGTATGTATCCTTCTGGGAATGAGAGAAGCTAATGTTGCTAGTCTCTTGATAAGGACACCAAGATGAAACAAAACATAACAGAATAAAGAGATTAAAAAATTGATTTTAGGTAGAGGGAAAGAAACATTGATGTGAGAGAGAAACATTGATCAGTTGCCTCACATATGTGCTCAAACTGGGGATTGAACCTGAAACCTAGGTATGCTCCCTGACTGAAGATGGATCCTGCAACCTTTTGGTGTATGGGATGGTGCTCCACCCAAGTGAGCCACCAGGCCAGGGTGCACAACCACCCTCATGGCCCTAAAGAAATTAATTATGAGAAAGTATGGGCGAAGTAGAAGATTTCAAGCCATAAATCATATGTACACTTAACCCACAAAGAGGAATTACAAGCAATTTATGGGATGATATATTATTTATATGCAAATAGGAAGTTACTGGAAAACGATCTGCGGTGACACAAAGGTAGAAGGCTGCTTTCCTGCATTTAAAAGCTTTTTCATACAGCCCTAGTCACTAACAATTCTAAATGAAGGCATTGGGTGGCCTTAGAGTACTCTGAACTCTGCGCCTTAGAGATATAGCAAGTTCTTTCTGGGCACAGTCACTGAAGGGAGAAAAGGGCAGAGTCCATGCCTGATCTGTTCATGGCCAAAAAGAAAAAGAGCTTCTTGCTCACAGATTCCTTTTGAGAACGCACTGGGAAGGGCTATAAATGGTGGATGAGTTGTGGCCTACTCTGACCAGGAAGGTGGAGGTGTTACTAGGGACTGGGTGCAGGGGATGCTGGGCAGACTGAGAACAGCTTCCACAGGTGTCATTGCCATCAATTCATTCAACAAGTGTCTACTGATAATCTAGTATATGCTATACACTGGGACACAAAAATGAGTAAGACAAATTTCTAATCTCAAGGTACTTAGAGTTTGTTTTTTTAAATTGTTGTTCTGTTACAGTTGTTCCAATTTTCCCCCTGCCCTGCCCACACCCCCACTCCCACAGTCGATGCCCATCCTGTTGTCCATGTCCATGGGGCATTTATACTTGTTCTTTAACTAGGCCCTTCTCTTTCTTTCCTCCCTTCTCTGTCCCCCCCATTCTCGCATGGTCCCTGTCAGTCTGTTCCTTGTTTCCAGGCCTCTGGTTCTATTTTGCTCATTTGTTTGTTTTGTTCACTAGTTTCCACTTATAGGTGAGATCACATTTAATGCAGAGAGAACAAATGAAACATATTTTATATTTTTAGGTGAAAAGGCAAAATTATGAAACTATAAAGCAGGGGTAAACAATTCTATATGGTATGTAATTAAATGCTAAGTTGTGCAGTGCAGACCACAAGTATGTGGTTGTTCTAAGGAGCGAAGAATCAATTTTGCAGTCACAAACCTGAATTAGGCCTCAAAGGATGGGGAGTATTCGGCTGGAAGAAGATACGGGAAGGAACTCAGAGGAAGGAAGAATGAATTCAGAGGAAAAAGCTACTGTGAGTGGAGGAATGTAGAGTAAGAAAGGTAGACAGTGAGGACGCTGACTTGAGAAAAACAGAGTGTGTGCAGGAGGGGAAACTCATAAACCACACAGCTAAGGCTGGTTGCTCACCTTTCCTCCCTGACCAGAACAATGGCAGTGGCCTCGTGATGCTGGAAGGACCCACATGTGTCAGAATCTGATGGGAAACTCACCCCTAGTTACTAACCCCTGGACTGATTAGGGACTGAAGGGCAGAATATATTATCCATGTGGGACCAGGAAGAGATCAATAGTATCAGAACAGTGGGCTCCTGCCTATGTGTATACCTTGGAGAAGGTCAATATAGCCAGGAAGGACTGCTGGAGGGTGAACTGTATGTAACTTGACTATTGGATAAGTTAAAATGAGTTTAAAAACCTCTTAAATTCTATAATTTGGGAATCTCTACCTGACTTCCTGACTAAAATCTCTTCATGATTTTCCATTGCCTTAGAATGAAGGGCTAAATCTTAGGATGGATTTAGGGCATATTTGGCCCTTCTTAATCTAACCCTTGCCTACCTTAACAGCATCACTTGTCCCTCCACCTGATGTGCCTCCAGCCATAGGGAACCACAGGTATGTCTCTGAAAGTTTGATTCATCTTGCTTTTTCATGCCTCTGGGTCCCCTGTTTGAGTGCCCTTTTCCTCTTCTTCTGCTTGGATAATTCTACTTGTCCTTTAAGACTCAGTAGGAAGATATTTTTTTTCTAGGAAGTATAGGGTTATGGGTAATTTATGTAAGGTTTATTGGCAGGGACCTGGATGCCAGTGGTTGCTACGTGCTGAGGGTAGACAGGTTAAATACCAGGACTGGGAAGCTGGTGACTGAGAACGCATTCTGAGGAGGTGGGAGGGATGCAGGAGACAGGGTGTATGTGAACCAAAACTCCAACCCCCTGGCACATGGCTTCATTGTTCCATCAGACTTCACTTACAAAACACAAATTCAAATATCAAAATTGTTAAGAATGCCACGACAGCAAACTAAGAGCATTGAGTCCTAAGCACAGAGCTTTTATGAGTGCAGGGCCCTGTGTGACTGTGCTGGTCATAAGCCCATGAAGCCAACCCTGCATAAAAGTCTGTTCATACAGCATTGGTTAATAGCAAAATGTAAGAAAACAAATTGTTCATTAATAAGTGATTGAACCAATACATTACAGTCCAACCAACCACAAAGTAAAAAAGAAAAATCATGTAGCCGGGAAAAAATGAGACAGATCATTATAGATACTCACAGAGAGCTGACTAAAAACTGAGAAGGTTATAGAATATTATATAGGTAATCACATTAAAATATTAAATACCATTGACCCTCCATATCCATGGGTTCTGCATCAGTGGATTCAACCAAGTGGATTGAAAACATTTGAAAAAAAGTTACATTGTTACTGATGTTTTATGTAGTAAGACCTACAGACCTATGATAGTGTGTCTGTACTAAACACGTATAGACTTTTCTTTTTGATCATTATTCTCTAAACAATATAGTATAGCAACAATTCACATAGCATTTACATTGTGTTAGGTATTATAAGTAATCTAGAGATGATGTAAATTGTGCTGGTGGATAGGTTACATGCAAATACTACACTACTTTATATAAGGGACTTGCACATGTGCAGCTTTTGGTATCTGTGGGGGTTTTGGAGTCAACACCTTGCAGATATTGAGGGACACATATGTGTTTGTATGAATGTCTACCTAAAGTAACATTGGGAGGGATGCCTGAATCTCTTAAAAGTGGTTACAGGAGGAAGGGATTTTTACTTTTCATACTTACAATATTTCAGGCTTTTCATTAACATATATTGTTTCTGAAATAAAAGATATGATTAAAAATTCAATGCTAACACCTAGAAACATCTGTCTGACCCACAGTGAAATCTGTTGACTTCATCTCATTTAAGAACATAAAAGTAGCATGGGAAATAATCTTCCTGACCTGTAAAACACTACTCATTAAAATTCTTACCATTCTTTTTACCTTTACATTTAATTCTTACCATCACTGCTGGACTCTTCAACAGGGGATGCTGAGTCCATACACCCTAGGGTTTCCTTTACGATCTCAACCACCTGAAGTCTCCTGACCTTGACTAGGTCTGTGTCTTTCAATCCTTCCTCCAATTGTTTGACCAATTCTTTTCCGGGCTGGGAAGTCAGAATAGTAATCTGGAAATAAATCCAAGAATCAGGGTGTCTGCCTTTCCTTGCATACAGAGTGAGGAACATAGGTTAGTCTAAAGATTAACACCAGAGAAGCCAGTGGTAATGGCTATTGTCGTAAGGGCACGGAAGAGGATTCAATTGTACAATAACTACAAATCAAATTTCATTTGACAGGTTATTTTGGATCATCACAAGACCCTTTCAAACAGCGTAAGCCTACCTCAGGAAGTGACCAGTGAGAAGCCATCCGTGTGTTTTAGTTTTTACAGATTGCTTAAATCACTGGTAGTATCTGTCCTGCTCAAAATGCTTTGATTTTATGAGGGAAAAAAGAAAATCAGATCCTTAAATTCCACTCGCTATATGTGTACTGAATAGCAAAGAGCCTATATGTTCCTTTTCCACAGTGGTGCTTCCACGGAGATTTCTTTCCTGTTTGGCCTGGATCCAGCTGAGCTGTTTCTTTCAATCTCTTAACTCTAAAATGTACTCACCCTTGACCAATATATCTGATATAAAAGAATATTCAGGTGTTTGTGAAAAAATTGAGTATTTTGTTCCACCTGAATGAATACACTCGTATTATCAGCACTTTTGCCTTGAATTTGAAACTCTGGGAGGCAATTCTTTTTTGTACTTAGACATTTTTGATTGATGACGAGAGATGCAGATGAAAGCACAATTATTTTTTAAAACTCAGTTTGATGCCTAGGGTTACCAGAGATGGGAAGTGCTTTAACTCACACTCACACACTCCATGGACTGTACGGCCATGACTCATTATATTTTAAGATTGCCTCAGTTTGACACCAGAATTGTAGAAATTTTTTCACTTGCATATTTGCTAATCTCAAGAAAAGTTACTCATTTTGATGCCAAGATTTGATTAAAAACAATCACAAGTTTTTTTATTTGACCTGATATTGAACCAGACTTCATTAGATGTGATGATTCTTTGTTATTGTTTATTTATTTTTCAGTTACAGTTTACATTCAATATTATTTTGCATTAGTTTCAGGTGTACAGCATGGTAGTTAGACAATCATACTTTATAAGTGGCCCAAGAACAATAGTAAATTCTCAGAGGTACCGAGAATATATAAATACACACACCAATCTAGGCAGTTAAATGATTGCTTTGCAAGTTCCAAAAGTCCAAAGGCAGACGGTATATTCAGATTTTATTTTGATTTCAGTTCTCCCTTATAGTTCACTTTTGTTCCAATTTTTAGAGCTCTTCTCTATGCCTAGCTGTGTACTGTGTATTGCACAGGTGATAGGAAAAAGGGACCATGTTTCCTGCCTGTAGGGGGCTGAAAATCTAGTCTTGAACACTGCATTCAAAGGGAGTATAAGGGGACTAAATGGTAATGGAAAAAATACAATAAAGTTGAAATAAAAAAAGAAAATTACATTCAATGTGTATGAAACATAGAACAATATAAGCGATAAATAATGAAGCATCTAGATGGACTGAAATGGGAAGATGGCTTAGGATCTTAAGGCCAGCCTCTTACCTCCAGGGCAGTGTAGGCCAGAGTGGCACCTGTGGTGACATGTCTGCAGTACTGGTTGAACTGTTGGAGCCCATTTTCTACCGCCAGTTGCAGGGAAGTACCTTGTGGTCGGAAACAACCTTCTCTCTGTAACATGCGGAGTTCTGAGATGCAGGCCTGCAGCCTAGCAAAGTTCCCTTTCACTTGCTGCAGAGAAAAATGAATCAAAGATACAAATCTTTAGCCTGGCTGGCATAGCTCAGTGGATTGAGCACGGGCTGCGAACCAAAGTGTTGCAGGTTTGATTCCCAGTCAGGGCATATATGCCTGGGTTGCAGGTCATGGCCCCCAGCAACCGCACATTGATGTTTCTCTCTCTCTCTTTCTCCCTCCCTTCCCTCTCTAAAAACAAATAAATAAAATCTTAAAAAAAAGATACAAATCTTTAGTGACCCAAATGCAGATTAATTGGGAGTCTAACTTCATTACCATTTACTCCTCAGGAGTCCCTTCTCTTCCTAAAAATCTGTTTATTTGACCAACATTAACTGAATGCCTGCTATGTTCCAGGCACTGCATTCAAATCTTCCCCATACCAGAAGAAAGAAAATTTGCAGCCCAAGGGCTTTGATTATGTGGAGTTACCAGAAACAGGAAAAGAAATGTTTTAAATCATTCAGTCACCCAATGGAAGGTCCAATTGTGATTGCTTAGTTTTACTTTAGGGTGGCCTAAAAATTGGAGGATTAGCAGTGTTATTCTTAAACATTATCTTTATTTCTCAGTCTAAGCATTGGGAGCTTCTCTATTCAAGAGTGATGTTTTCCTAGAAATTGGGATTTTGATGTGGTTGTTCATAACTGATAAGGTCCTACCGATCTGCTCCTCAGGATCACTTCCTGGTAAATATTGGTTTAGTCTGCAGTCTGCTCAAGGAGTCAAGAGGTTCACTTTGTGGTTCTCTTCACCCTCCTTTATAAAACCTTGCTATTAGGAAGTAATCTAATATAATCTGATTTTAGATCAATGTTATATCTCCTAAGGACATATGCATTCTCAATATATGTTTCTCAACAAATTTTCTCAATGAAAATTTGTGACACTGTTTGAAGTGGGTGGGAAGAAATTATATTTTGGGATAAGGAAACCTTCCTGACCAAAGAGCAGAACTAAGAAATATTTGTAAGTGTACATAAAATTCATGATCATGAGTTCCAGTACTGCCAGGGTACAAAGATCACTTAAGCCAATGCTGCCCCACTCAGTTCCACAACTGATGACTTTGCTTACATGATCCTTTCCCTGAGCCTTTGTGAAAAACACAAGAAATAGGACATAATTTGTACACAAAGAGAACTTGCAATCTAGATAGAAAGATAAGAAACTTACTTAGAAAATGACAACAAATGAGATGATAGGTAGAGACTAGCAGACTTCAAGCATTTCTTTTCATGTATACCTAAATGTATCTGAAGAATGATATACTTCTTTACACATTTTAAATTGACATCTAGATTTAAAAATTCAGAATGTAAGTAGCTGCTAAGAATGTAACTTCCAGCATATTTTAAATATGAATATTTAAAAATAGAACTATAGCCCTGATTGGTGTGGCTTGGTTGGGCATTGTCCTGCCAAGCAAAAGGTTGCTGGTTGGATTCCCGGTCAGGGCACATGCCTAGGTTGTGGGTTTGATGCCTGGTCTCTGCATCAGAACTATTTACATATTGTAAGATTTTTAAATTTCCTATGACCATAGGCTCTAAGGAGTGACCTAGGTTGAATTATTATTAGAATTATTTTTCATATATAAATCAGTTAAAATATATATTACTTGTTTTGATATATAATAATTGGCATTAAGCATGAACTTTAATTTAAAATGAATCTCTTAATGGCATGAACATGCTGGGTTCTTTTTTCAAGTAGTTCAGGTATGTATGAATAAATACATTACTTGTTGCTCAGATAATGCCACTTTCAGAATGAATTCTATTCCTATTTCTTATTGTTATAATGCTGAAAACCTTGTCCTCATAAATATGAGATGCCAATCAAAATGTCAAATTCTTTCTGAGTTGTATGCCAGAAGTCATATAGAGATCTACCAATAAAAATTATTTTAATGACCTATCATTTGCTATTCAGTTTGCTTTTTCTTCATGTTTATTAAAACTGGAAACCACCTGTATGCAAAAGACTAAAACTAGTAACAAGTCATTTACTTTCTTACACTGATACCAACATTTTGAATTATTCCTTTGTTTAATGCCCCTGGAAGTTTTAAAACCACATGGCAACTCATCACAGTAAGATTCATAATGGGGGAAAAACATGTAGCTCTCCCCTCTTTCTTTGTACTTGGGATTTTCTTTGTGAAGTGAAAGGGGGTAATTGTGAGAGGGTTGGTGAGAATGGAGAGGCAGCCTGATGACCTCATCATAGGCATAATTAGTCAAAGAAGTTTTAAAAAGAATACTCATGGAAATTGAGAATCTACATATCAATTCTCTAAAATTACCTATCGCTGTGCACTCTGTGAAGTCTTCTTGTAGTCCTAGGCTATGTGTACCCCAGTTTGAAGAGATCATCATAGACCGTAGATGCTTTCCAGGTGTGTCCCACCCAGGGGCTACATGTGGCTCAGGATGGCTATGAATGTGGCCCACCACAAAATCGTAAATTTACTTAAAACCTTTTTTTTTGCTCATCAGTTTTCATTAGTGTTTGTGTATTTAATGTGTAGCCCAGACAACTCTTCTTCTTCTAGTGTGGTCCAGAGACACCAAAAGGTTGGACACCCCTGCTAGAAGTTAAGAAAAAGAAAGGTAAGTGTTGTTGGAAAGGAGGTGAGATTGGGCTGAGAATTGAAAGGGTAACATTTGTAAAAATACAGTATTTTATGTGTGTATGTGTGTGTGGGTGGTGTTGGTGGGTAGGGAGGCAGAAAGTTCAATGTAACCAATGGTGTAGGGGTTGAGAGTAAGTATGTGCTAGAGAGAATGAGAAAATGTTCTTGACAAGAGTAGAGGATGCTTGTTAAGAAGTAGTGGGCATTTTAGTCAAGAAGTAGCTAGGTTTTAGCTCAGGCTTTAGACCCAGATAGACTTGAGTTCCACACCTGGCTCTCCCTCTTATTGGCTCTAAGTACTTAAACCTAAATTTCTTCAACTAGAAATTAGGGACAATGGAAATACTTATCTTAAAGAATGTCTTAAGTACATTAGTTTATGACACACAGTATGCACTCAGTGTTAGATGTGGTTATTATTTTCATCACTATTACACTCTAAAACCATTTAAGATATTACTGATCAAACACAAGGGGTTTGTATTGACTTAATGGTCCTGTTCTACTACTGACAAAATAACAAAAAAACCTAAAAAAAAGTATTCATGTAAAGGACATTGATTCATTCACTCATTCATTAAAAAATTATTATTAGGTGCTTATGATATACTAGGTACCTACAAAAGCCCATAATTTCAACTTTCTATTAACTTTACAACTAAGTGAAATAAATAGCCTCAGAATACAAAGGGATAAGAGCCACAATAGAATGACGTTTTCCAAAGTGTATTGACCAGTTACTGTCTGTCTATCTCAGTAAAATATAAGCTCTTTATTAAGGACAAAAAACAAACTGGGGAAACATTTTCAACATATATGATTATCATGACCTTAATATTGTTAGTATGTAAAAAGCATCTACAAATAAATAAAGTTGATATCTGAAACATATTCTTCTGCCACCTAACAATATACATACTAGATAAGGCACAAATATCTTTTAAATGCATAGTTGCATTCATAGGAAATTAAGGGAAATCTTCAAGTACCCAAGTGGGGGACAGCAGGAAACAGGAAACCACAGTGTTAAATAGATATAAAAGTTTTGGCTTTACTTGCTGATCTTGAGAACCTAGGGCCTTGTGTTTCAAGGGAGCAGGAGACAAGGCCTTAGCCAACATAAGGAGAAGAGTTGGAACTGCAACATGGTTCAAAATTAAGACTGTTTGAAAGGTTACTTTATCAGTGAAAAGGTGGGCTAGAAAGAATCCATCCAGCGATATAGGGTGATGACAATGATATGTGTTGACTAATGTGAGTTCTGAGTAGAAATGAAAAAGAAATTACTGCTGAGAACTAGAAACAACATGCCTCCCTTCATGTAGGTTTGGGATTTGACTTCACCTGCAGGTCTAAGAAACCCTAAGTTTAAAACATTACTTAAAGTGGTCCTGAATTGATAGCATCTCAGGGAACCTGGCTCATGTAAACACAAATTTTCTCTAGACTTTTACAGCCTAAACTCAGGCCTCACAGAATTCTCACATATTACAATCAACTAAACATATGCTCATAATACAAAATTACAAAATCAGTGAGAAAATAAACATCATGAGTGAGAGTTAGCAGAAACAAACAGCAGAATTAGAACATCAACCATTTCAGATACTGGAATTATCAAATGTATTTAAGTACCTTTAAGATGTTTAAGGAAATAAAAGAGGGAATCGAAACCATGAACAAAAGAGAAAAGAACTATCAAAAAGGATGAGACATATTTAAAAAATTACCAAATAGAATTTCTAGAAAATAAATTATAATAATTGAAATAAGAAACTCAATGAATGTGTTAATTGATAGATTAAACACCACTGAAGAATTATCAACTTGGAAAATAAAGCTGAAAAAAATACTACAGAACATGGCATGGAAAGACAGAGGAGGAAAATATGAAAAACATGTTAGGAGAAATGGAAGAAAAAGTAAGAAGACCTAATACTTAACTAATTAGAGTCTCAAAGGTGTGGGCTGGAGATAATGAAGAAGAAGCAATATTCAAAGAGGTAATGGATGGGAATTTTTCAGAAATGATGGAAAGGCACGAACCCTTAGATTCATAAAGCACAACAAACACCAAGTAGGAGAAATAAAAAAGAAATCCATATTTAGACACACTAAAGACAAAATAACTCAAAAAAATCTTAAAATCAGTCAGATATTAAAAATATTATTTATCAAGAGAAAGAAGGACTGGCAGAAGACTTTTTAACAGCAACACTGTTATCAAAGAAGGCAGTAGAATGATATCTTCAAAATGTCAAGGAAAAAAACTTCTCAATTTAGAATGGTTAAACTAATGTTGCCTAATTTTATGTGTCAACTTGACTGAGCCACAGGATGCCCATATTAAACATTA